TAGGTGGCATGTTAGAATCCTGAAGAATAAACTGAACTTTTCATAATAGTTATCTTCTAATTTTATAATATTACGATTAAATGTTAATTCACAAAGTTTTTAGGTTTACTGGAACAATAGTTGGTATTGAGGATGCTGACCCGAAAAGATGGCCAGAATCAAAATGGAGATGTCTAAAGGTAGTTGCTCCTGTATTTGATGAAGCATGTTCCCCCTTTTTAGATCTCATGCTGAAGTTGTATCTCTTAATCTAACATTAAGGTGCGATGGGATGAAACTTCCTCCATTCCTCGTCCTGAGAGGGTTTCACCCTGGGAAATTGAACCCGCTGCTCTTAATCCGCTTCCGGTGTCCAGGCCAAAGAGGCCTCGATCAAACATCTTTCCCTCATCTCCAGACTCTTCTGTCTGTACAAGGGAAGGTATTTTTCAACCTGACTGAGTTTTCTTTTGGCTAATTATTATTATTTTTTTTTTACTTTATATCCATCTGACTCAAATGTGTTCTATGTATTTGTTTCAATGTAGCTTCATCTAAGATAACAGTGGACTCTTCAGCAGCCAGTGGCTTTCCTAGGGTTTTGCAAGATCAAGAGTTTTCCCCCTTGAGAAGCACTTTTCTGGAGAACTATGAGTCAGACTCTTCTGAAAAGCAAATATTATGGCGACCTTCATTGGATGATGAGAAGGTTGATGTTTCCACAACCAGAAGATATGGATCCGATAAAAGGTTTCCTCTAGGAAGGCAAGAGTCATCAGTCACTAATCTCTTATCAGGTTTTGGGACGCAAATCAATTCCTCCCATGATTTCTATATGCCTTGTGGTGATCACGCTGGAGCTATTGCGAATCATCTAATGCTAGAGGATGAAGGGAAATTCAACTCAATTGGAAACACGAGGTCTAAGATTCATTCTGGTCTGTCGCTTAATTTGATGGATTCTAACATGAAAACTCATGGACAAGAGGATATGAGGTATGGTGGTTTCAGACTGTGTTCCGTGCTTCCTGATCATAGAGCTAAGAATTTGCCTAGTGATTGGTTGATGCCACCACCAATTTCACCTTATCTCCAAACACCGCCTGCTATGTCTAGAGAGCTGGCGCTGAAGTCTTCATCTCAACAACAGTACAATGGCAGGAAACCAAAAGCAGGGAACTGCAAGCTCTTTGGTATTTCCCTTAATAGTAGCTCCATTCCAATTGAGCCTGCATTATCAGAGTGGTTGGAGTGTCTTTGTGAGTTCCAAGAGGCTTGTTGCTGGGGATGCCTTCATATTTCTAAGGTTTGGTGCAATCTTGATGTCTCTATGTCTATACAAACTTACTTTCATGCATGAAGTGTGAGTAATGTGGAATTTGTAGGGCTGAGAATGGGGAGCTTCGAGTTGGCGTTAGACGTGCCATGAGACAGGAAGGCAACGTTCCATCATCAGTCATATCTAGTCACAGTATGCATCTTGGTGTGCTGGCAACAGCTTGGCATGCTAATCAGACTAAAACCATGTTCACGGTGTATTACAAGCCCAGGTATGTGGTTTGAATTGTGCATTCGTGGAGTTTACTGATGCCAAAATAAAACTGTCTGTTATCAAAGATTAATTTGGATGTCCAACTTCTCTCTCTCTCTCTGAAAAGAGATGGCTACTGGCTACTGTGGGAGATGGAACCAAACTCACCCTCCTTCATAGCTCATAAAAATTGTGGATGGTCTTTCCTTCTGTTGGTTGTTGACAACAGCCCATTGTTAACCTTATCGTCTCTTTTATAATTCCTCTGGATGCAATTGAATTTTGCTACAGTAAGCATGTGACATTGCTGCTGTCAAATGAGCATATGATGAATCTGTTTGATTTTATAGGTGCAGACTTTCACATTTCAATTTTTTTTTTCAAAGGTATATTCAAATTTTATTTTTGTTTGGGAAAGGTACACCTTTCAAAAAAAAAAATTTGAAATGCGAAAGTCTGCACCCATAAACGTATGCACAATATATAGAAGAAAGAAAATGATCCGATTATATTGCATGTTTTGCTCTCTTCTAATTGTTATTCTCCTATAATGTGGCAGGACGAGCCCAGCTGAGTATATTGTCTCTTATGATCAGTACATGGAGTCCATGAAAATTAATTATGCAATAGGAATGAGGTTTAAAATGAGATTTGAAGGTGAAGAAGCTCCAGAGCAGAGGTAGGCGGCATGTTAGAATCCTGAAGAATAAACTGAACTTTTATGGAGTATTTGAATAATAGTTATCTTCTAATTTGATAATATTACGATTAAATGTTAATTCACAAAGTTTTTAGGTTTACTGGAACGATAGTTGGTATTGAGGATGCTGATCCGAAAAGATGGCCAGAATCAAAATGGAGATGTCTAAAGGTAGTTGCTCCTGTATTTGATGAAGCATGTTCCCGCTTTTTAGATCTCATGCTGAAGTTGTATCTCTTAATCTAACATTAAGGTGCGATGGGATGAAACTTCCTCCATTCCTCGTCCTGAGAGGGTTTCACCCTGGGAAATTGAACCCGCAGCTCTTAATCCGCTTCCAGTGTCCAGGCCAAAGAGGCCTCGATCAAACATCTTGCCCTCATCTCCAGACTCTTCTGTCTGTACAAGGGAAGGTATTTTTCAATCTGACTGAGTTTTCTTTTGGCTAATTATTTTTTTACTTTATATCCATCTGACTCAAATGGGTTCTATATAATTTTTTCAATGTAGCTTCATCTAAGATAACAGTGGACTCTTCAGCAGCCAGTGGCTTTCCTAGGGTCTTGCAAGAACAAGAGTTTTCCCCCTTGAGAAGCACTTTTCTGGAGAACCATGAGTCAGACTCTTCTGAAAAGCAAATATTATGGCGACCTTCATTGGATGATGAGAAGGTTGATTTTTCCACAACCAGAAGATATGGATCAGATAAAAGGTTTCCTCTAGGAAGGCAAGAGTCAACAGTCACTAATCTCTCATCAGGTTTTGGGACGCAAATCAATTCCTCCCATGATTTCTATATGCCTCGTGGGGATCACGCCGGAGCTATTGCGAATCGTCTAATGCTAGAGCATGAAGGGAAATTCAACTCAATCAGAAACACGAGGTCTAAGATTCATTCTGGTCTGTCACTTAATTTGATGGATTCTAACATGAAAACTCATGGACAAGAGGATATGAGGTATGGTGGTTTCAGACAGTATTCCGTGCTTCCTGATCATAGAGCTAAGAATTTGCCTAGTGATTGGTTGATGCCACCACCAATTTCACCTTATCTCCAAACACTGCCTGCTATGTCTAGAGAGCTGGCGCTGAAGTCTGCATCTCAACCACAGTACAATGGCAGGAAACCAAAAGAAGGGAACTGCAAGCTCTTTGGTATTTCCCTTAATAGTAGCTCCATTCCAATGGAGCCTGCATTGCCACACAGAAATGCGTCTATTGAGCTAGCTGATCGCATGCTTCTTGGGGTGAACTCTCATAAATCCACTGCACTTGAATCTCATCAAAATTCTAAATTGGTTGATAATCAAGTTGCCAATAGTGAGCAGGAGAAACAATGTCGAACCTATGTTCCCATTTCTAGCAATGGGGAAGGCAAAGGTCATTCTGGTTCAACGAGGAGTTGCACCAAGGTTTTGATTTGGACTTCCATATTCCTTTTCAATGACACTGTTAATTCACGTCTAATATAAAATGGCATTGCCATCTCTCTATTATTTTCATTTCAGGTTCATAAGCAGGGTATCGCCCTTGGAAGATCTGTGGATCTTGCCAATTTCAACAACTACAACGAATTGATTGCTGCATTAGACGATCTCTTCAAATGTAATGGGGAACTGACTTCTCAGAATAAGAATTGGCTTGTGGTTTATACTGATGATGAGGATGATATGATGCTTGTTGGAGATGACCCATGGGAGTAAGATATCCTTCTTGATTCTCCCTAACATGTTCCGAAAGTTTGGATTAATTTTGATTACCAAAACTCATTGGTATCGTCTTCATGTAATTGCTTGTTTATTGACTGTTGCCTATCTATCTCTGGTTAAAAACAGTGAATTCTGTGGCATGGTTCGGAAGATCTTAATTTGTACAAAAGAAGAGGTCCAGCGTATGAACCCAGGGACGTTTATTTCAAATGGAGAGGATTATTCATCAGTTCCGGAAGGCTTGGATGCCAATGAAGCAAGGGATCTACGACGTCCTTCAACATCAAGCCCAGATGATTGCTAAGTTGTCCACCTTTATCTAGGTAGTTATTTTATATATTCAACTTTTTGAGCTACTAGGAAAATGTATCCTGGTACAAATGTTAATTTATTCTCTTACCTGCTCCTGTTGTGCCCCATTCTTTAAATTTTTTTTGGGAAGTTTCATAAGTGTGTAGAGATATGTATGCCATGCCCATCGGGGAAGGGTTTGGGGTCATTTCGGAGATTTGGAGTAAAAATGGGAAAATTGGATTCTGCATATCTTTTGATGTCTTTTCCTTCTTCTTTGTTGGATGGATTCTCTCCCGTAGCTCAGTATATGATTACTTAATCTCGAATGTTATTGGAGGATCTATGATATCTGCTGATAAGTAATCTTGATGCTAAACAGGTATATATAAATGCATGACTTGGAGAAGACTTTTAATGGATCAGCTGTTGATTTTTGGTGACATCAGATAGCATATGCTTATTCTGCCCCTTCAACCTCTCGATGGCTGGATTCTCTATGGTTGAGATTTTCAGCATCTGGAGTTTTAAACCGTTCCAAGGCCAATTTATTTCACCATATAGTTTATGATGAAATGCGTATCATATTATGAGCAAGGCGTAGATGCCATATTTTGCTTTCAATCTTCACCTTGTACTTATCCAACCTTTCTTTTTTTTCTCAAAGCAAGTATTGATGCAAGCAAGAGTTGATATATAACCTGCTACGCCTCATTTTGATTTCTGTAGTATTGAATCAAGCAAGAGCGCATAATATATGTGGTGTCATCATTATTTAGATGAACTATAGATGGAGAGAATAGTTCGTATTTGTTTTGCAGAACGGTTTTTGCAGCTGCCTGGGGAGAGATTGGTTTGAAAAGCAATGGATTTTGCTCGCTCATTTCGATTTAGTTTAGTGTTTCCGGAGTTATAAAAGGCTCTGCTTATTTTACAAGATTTTTGCACCTGAAATTCAAGGGAGCAGAAAATGGTCAACTTTATGAAGTTCTGGATTCTCGTTTTCTTTTCTCATCATGTTTGGTCCAGATATTGAATTGTATTGAAGTTGAAAAATAAGTTAAACTATTGTTTATAACTCTTTTGTCATGTCCAACATGAAAAAAAATGTGAAACTTAAAATATATTTCCTTGGATATTTTAATGTAACATTATTTTTTGCTATATAACCAATCTAAAAGTTAGTCTTCAATAATATTTAGAGCCTGTTTGAGTCACATTATAATGAGAATGAGGATGAGAAATAGAGTCGTTATGTGCTCCACACCGGAGATAGAAATTCAAAAATGGTGATTTGATGTGATGGATAATGGTCATATTTTTCATTTTAATGAGGTAAAGATGGGGTTCAAACAGGGGCTTAAAATAGCAAGTTGATCATTATGACCAGTTCCAATAATAAAAAATGTCCAAAATATTGTTAAGTCGTGTGGATTTTGTATACGCAACTTTACAAAGTTAAGTTTAACGTCTCAATTTGGACTTGGACAAAAAACTTTGAAAAAATACATGTTCCTACGTGGGTTGTATGCGATTTAACAACAATTAAGGCGACTTCTGTCGTGAGATTAATGGTGCAACTATGGACAAGATTGGAGATTAAATTGCCCTTTTTGAAACACTAATGGTCAAGTTTCTATTGAAACTTTATTTTTCCTTTTCTTTTCTTTTCTTTCCGTTCCTTTTTTTTATTTTTTATAGTTAGTTTAAAATGAAAAATTGGACATTTGAAGTTTGAGGATTCACTTGCTAGAGCAAATTAATAAAGGACTTAAGTTCTAATTTGTAAAGTTTTGAAACACAACTATAATTTACCTTTTATGTTTTTTGTGGAAATTACGGATTCTAATAAATTAAAAATCCTCATTTCATAAATAAGATGACATGTTTAGTATTTCACAAATCATAATTTTTTAAATTAATTAATGTATTTAAAAATTAATTAAGTAAAACAATTTCAAATCTAATTAAATCAATCTCAATTCCCTCTCTCTCTCTCTGCCTTAAACACCGCCGTCGAATATCTCTCCCACAAATCGACCATCTCTAGACAAGCGTTCACCGAAAGATCACGATCATAAATCCACTGCACTTGAATCTCATCAAAATTCTAAATTGGTTGATAATCAAGTTGCCAATAGTGAGCAGGAGAAACAATGTCAAACCTATCTTCCCATTTCTAGCAATGGGGAAGGCAAAGGTCATTCTGATTCAACGAGGAGTTGCACCAAGGTTTTGATTTGGACTTCCATATTCCTTTTCAATGACACTGTTAATTCACATCTAATATAAAACGGCATTGCCATCCTTCAATTATTTTCATTTCAGGTTCATAAGCAGGGTATCGCCCTTGGAAGATCTGTGGATCTTGCCAATTTCAACAACTACAACGAATTGGTTGCTGCATTAGACGATCTCTTCAAATGTAATGGTGAACTGACTTCTCAGAATAAGAATTGGCTTGTGGTTTATACTGATGATGAAGATGATATGATGCTTGTTGGAGATGACCCATGGGAGTAAGATATCCTTCTTGATTCTCCCTAACATGTTCCGAAAGTTTGGATTAATTTTGATCACCAAAACTCATTGGTATCGTCTTCATGTAATTGCTTGCTTATTGATTGTTGCCTATCTACCTCTTGTTAAAAACAGTGAATTCTGTCGCATGGTTCGGAAGATCTTAATTTGTACGAAAGAAGAGGTCCAGCACATGAACCCAGGGACGTTTATTTCAAATGGAGAGCAATATTCATCAGTTCCGGAAGGCTTGGATGCCAATGAAGCGAGGGATCTACCACATCCTTCAACGTCAAGCCCAGATGATTGCTAAGTTGTCCACCTTTATCTAGGTAGTTATTTTATATATTCAACTTTAAAAGAGCTACTAGGAAAATGTATCCTTGTACAAATGTTAATTTATTCTCTTACCTGCTCCTGTTGTGCCCCATTCTTTAAATTTTTTTTGGGAAGTTTCAGAAGCGTGTAGAGATATGTATGCATGCCCATCGGGGAAGGGCTTGGGGTCATTTCTGAGATTTGGAGTAAAAATGGGAAAATTGGATTCTGCATATCTTTTGATGTCTTTTCTTTCTTCTTTGTTGGATGGATTCTCTCCTGTAGCTCAGTGCATGATTACTTAATCTCGAATGTTATTGGAGGATCTATGATATCTGCAAATAAGTACTTGATGCTAAACAGGTATATACAAATGCATGAGTTGGAGTAGACTTTTAATGGATCAGCTGTTGATTTTTGGCGACATCAGATAGCCTATGCTTATTCTGCCCCTTCAACCTCTCGATGGCTGGATTCTCTATGGTTGAGATTTTCAGTATCTGCAGTTTTAAACCCGTTCCAAGGCCAATTTATTTCACCATATAGTTTATGATGAAATGCGTACCATATTACGAGCAAGGCGTAGATGCCATATTTTGCTTTCAATCTTCACCTTGTACTTATCCAACCCTTTTTTTTTCAAAGCAAGTATTGATGCAAGCAAGAGTTGATATATAACCTGCTACACCTCATTTTGATTTCTGTAGTATTGAATCAAGCACAAGCGCATAATAAATGTGGTGTCATCATTATTTAGATAAACTATAGATGGAGAGAATAGTTCGTATTTGTTTTGCAGAACGGTTTTTGCAGCTGCCTGAGGAGAGATTGGTTTGAAAAGCAATGGATTTTGCTCGCTCATTTCGATTTAGTTAAGTGTTTCCGGAGTTATAAAAGGCTCTGCTTATTTTACAAGATTTTTGCACCTGAGATTCAAGGGAGCAGAAAATGGTCTACTTTATGAAGTTCTGGATTCTCGTTTTCTTTTCTCATCATGTTTGGTCCAGATATTGAATTGTATTGAAGTTGAAAAATAAGTTAAACTATTGTTTATTACTCTTTTGTCATGTCTAACATGAAAAAAAAAATGTGACACTTAAAATATATTTCTTTGGATATTTTAATGAAACATTATTTTTGACTATATAACCAATCTAAAAGTTAGTCTTCAATAATATTTAAAATAGCAAGTTGATCATTATGACCAGTTCCAATAATAAAAAATGTCCGAAATATTGTTTAAGTCGTGTGGATTTTGTATGCGCAACTTTACAAAGTTAAGTTTAACGTCTCAATTTGGACTTGGACAAAAAACTTTGAAAAAATACATGTTCCTACGTGGGTTGTATGCGATTTAACAACAATGATGGCGACTTCTGTCTTGAGATTAATGGTGCAACTATGGACAAGATTGGAGATTAAATTGCTCTTTTTGAAACACTAATGGTCAAGTTTCTATTGAAACTTTATTTTTCCTTTTCTTTTCTTTTCTTTCCGTTCTTTTTTTAATTTTTTTAGTTAGGTTAAAAAGAAAAATTGGATATTTGAAGTTTGAGGATTCACTTGCTAGAGCAAATTAATAAAGGATTTAAGTTCTAATTTGTAAAGTTTTGAAACACAACTATAATTTGCCTTTTATGTTTTTAGTGGAAATTACGGATTTTAATAAATTAAAAATCCTCATTTCATAAATAAGAAGACATGTTTAGTATTTCACAAATCATAATTTTTTAAATTAATTAATGTATTTAAAAATTAATTAAGTAAAAAAATTTCAAATCTAATTAAATCAATCTCAATTCCCTCTCTCTCTCTCTCTGCCTTAAACATCGCCGTCGAATATCTCTCCCACAAATCGACCATCTCTAGACAAGCGTTCACCGAAAGATCACGATAGAGCAACAGCCAGAACAGTGGCAAATGGTGGTCGTGGAGATCTTGATTAGGGTTTGGGGAGTGGTTGGATGAAATTTGTGTTAATTTGAAAGCTGGAGGCCACCATAGTGGAGAGGAAGGCTGCAGCGATGACGTCATTACAATGGCTTGACGTCGTTGCATTGTGTAGAGGGCATAGGGGCGATGACGCCACGGCGGGCGGAATGAGTGCCGCTCCGCGATTTGGAAAAATTTGGTGGAGGCGCGATCTAGTACGAATATGATTTTTTTGGGTTTTTGCGAAGGTTTGGGATGGTGCTCAGAGTTTGGTGGTTTGCTTTGTGGTAGGTACGGTGATGGTGTTTGCAGCTGTTGAAGGTAATGCAGGTGATGGTGGTAGTGCCAAGTGGTGATTGTCGCTACATGAATTATGCTATGGCGATGGTGGCACGTGCAACGGTGATGGTGCAGTGGTGGAGTTCAGATATATTTATACAACTGTTAATCTAAAAGTTTTTGTGCGTAGACGTGGTGGTGTGTGTGCGACGACAATGAGTTGATGTTGGTGATTTGCACGATTTTGTGATGACAGTGGTAATTGTGGTGGACTGACGGTGGTCGTGTCGGTGGTTGTGGTGGTCATGATGGTTTGTTTGATTTTGTGTCAAATAATTGAACCCATGACTTCAAAATTGTGATTGTAACTCCCAATTGTAACTCACAATTTGGGAGTCACAGTTGGTTGTGACAGTGGTCGTGGGGGTTTGGTTGATTTATGACTCACAATTGGATAATCGACCTGAAAATTGTGACTATGAATCGTAAGTATTGGTGGTGGTCACAAATTATTTGATTTCCAGTGATCATTAAATTGGTTAATCTATGATCAATAAATAATACGTGACCAACGAAAAAAATAAATTTTGATCGAAAAATAATGTATGACCTAAAAAATTATTAATCTGTGATCGATAATTTGTGATTATATAATAAATTGTGACTTGTAATATTTGTCATTTGTGATCAATAAATAAATCGTGACTTATAAATTTTTCGATTTATGATCGATGAACACACCGTGACCTATAAAATTTTTGAATTGTAATCGTAAAATAATTTGTGACAAAAAAAAAGTGACGAATTAAATCGTTATTTTGTGATCAAATTATACAAATTTGTGACTTAAATATATTTAATTACTAAAATAATTAATTAATTAAATTAAAAATAATTTTTAATAAAAATATGATTTTTGAAATTTCACACTTCTTTTCTTGGTTTTGGAACGTGACAATTAAATTTTCCCATGTTTTTTATTATGAAGAGAAGAAGCTGCAAACCGGTCCATTTTCATCCACATCTACCTTCTTCTACATCACTCTCAATCCCCCTAAAGTGCACGCCAACCCCCTCTCTCTTTATTATTGAGAGACCTTAACAATTCTCTCATTCGTCTTTCTGTTAATCTATTTTTCATTCAGGTAAAGTTTATATTTCTTGTTGACCTAATTTGTATTTCTGTGTCTGAATTGAAATTGGGTTTCTATTGATATTATTTGATTTTAGGTTAATTAGATGCTCATTGAAGGTTTTTTTCTGATTTGTTCTCGTAATATATCTGTGTTATTTTTTACTTTTATAATTTTTTTCAATCTGGTTCTTTAGGTTTACAGATGAAAGTTTTTAATGTTGAAATAATATTCTTTTTGAATTGATTAGCTAAAAACATGTTATCATAAATGGCGATGGAATGAAATGTTAGCTAGTATCTGTTATCTCTCTGTGATTCTATTTAGATTATGTGAGCTAGCACTAAATGAAAGAGCTAATATGTGTTTTTATGTGCTTTTAGCAGCTCTGGAGCTTGTATGAATTGTTATTGCAAAATTCTCTTTTCATTTTACTTGTTTTTCTATTTTACTGTAAGTACATTCTTTTCTGTGGATGGTGAAAAAATATCATAGATTTATGTGTCTATAGTATGATGTGAGTTCTATTATAATAATATGGGGGTAAAGTGTTCTATAAAATCCACTGGTTTATTTTTTTATTTTTATTATTCTTGTTAAACTTTTATAACGTATGGTATCATCGAATGTTGGTTGATTAGAGTTCATATAGTTCTACTCTCTGCATTTCGGCTCCTCGAATCTGTCTACTTCAAGATAAAGAACTAAAAAAACTTCTTGTGTAGTATGTAGTTTTTAGAAGCCCATTTTTATGGCTCCCTTTTTGAGGTTCAAATTTATGTGTTCCATACTTGAAAACTTATGTTTTCATTGGATTTTTGATTTCTGATTGTTTCCATCAACTGAAGAAGTTTATTCCTTAGTTTGAGATTTTGGAATTAGTCAAGTCGAATAATTGCATTAACTTAGCAGTGGGCATGCAATCCCTCCTGCCAACTTCCTCGATTCAAGATGATATGTTAGATCTACTTCTCAAAAAATTGTTGCTTCTTGTATATTCAGCTCTTTGTATGGCAGAGGCCTTTCTACTTTATTTTAGCCTCCAGTTGCATTAACTTTATGTGTTGAACAGTTGAAGTGACTTTCTAGTGTTCTCATGGAGCTTTTCAATGTGGTCTTTTGCTTCCTAAGCTGAGAACTCTGGGTAATTAGGTGGTTGTGGGTGTTTGTGGATCCTTTCATGTCCAAATACCCACTAATTGACCCTTTTTGTTGGTTCTAGAAAATAAAATTATCCTTTTAGGATGTTTCTACGTTATAAATTGCACAGTGCATGTTTGTTGAAGATGGGAATCATTTTCCTGTTATGGTGAACATATGTAAATATTTCACATTTTTCATGCTCGTCTCGCAAGAAGAAACTTTAGCAGATTATGCTAGCTATATATGTCGCCATCTCACATTTTGGAGCTTCAAATAGAATTGTTTTGTGCTCACAACTAAAAAATGGCCTTTTGATTTAAATCTTAGCTGTCTTATTGTCATTTCATATGCAGATCCCTTTAACGCAATCATGGCGAGAGCTTTAGTTCAGTCAAGTAATAACCTCAATATAGTTTCCGGTGAAAGGAATGGTCAATTAAAGGGATCTGGGAGTAACAAAAGAATGGTTACAATGCTGTGTAGTTTACAAACAATGCCTCTAAGGATCAGGAATTTATCAGGATTGCGAGGATCCAATGCCTTAGATATGATGCTGAGGCAAACTGGCCAGTCATTCCAATCGAAGGTATCTGGTATCACCTCTGTTACACGACGAAGAAAATGCCGAATTGCACCACGAGCCATGTTTGAGCGCTTTACTGAGAAAGCAATAAAAGTTATCATGCTTGCACAAGAGGAGGCAAGACGGCTTGGTCATAATTTTGTGGGAACTGAGCAGATTCTGTTGGGACTTAT